GAAGATAAGTTCAGTTTCTAAGATTAAGTTTACTACTTCATTATTAATCATAAATATTCTTATCACATCCTCGCCCATATATCACACCAAATACGCACAACGCCTACAAAGAGCGACAAACTAGAAAAATAAATAAATTTTTATGACCTATTACATCCATTATTATATCCTCAAGTGTCCTCTTCATCACACAACAAGACGGAGAGACACAAAGATGAAGAAGATGATACTTTTTGCACAACATCAAAGATGAAACAAGCACAAGAAGAAAAAAAGTCGAATGAAAATTGAGGAAATAAAGAAGATGAGAAGAGAATCAAGGATCAAAATCTAATTTATGTTGGCGTGAAACTTTCATTTCCGAGACACATATATATATTGGAGACGTAGAATGTACGGAACACGGCATATCGAATAAAGAATTGAGTTAAAAAAGTTTTTGTTGAGGGATAACGCAATTTTCGGGGAGATTTTAGGAAGGTTTGGTAAAAACTGAAGATTAGGAAAACTTATTAGGATTGAAACTGGCCGAAAATTTTCAAAATTGACCGAAACTCTCCAAAACTGATCGAAAGTCTTCAAAAATGGTCGAAGGTCTTTGAAACTAGTCGGAATTGTTCAAAGCTGATTCAAAATCTTCAAAACTGGCCGAAAACTCCTCAAAACTGACCGAAAGTCATTAAAACTGGCCGAAAGAAATTAAAACTGACCGAAAAATTTCGAAACTGACCGAAAACTCTTAAAACTGCCTTAAACTCTCTTAAAATTTAAGTTCTAATCTAGAAGTTCATGTTACACCAGACCAAATTGTCACTAAACCCCCACTCATCCCATCAAACTCCACTTCACGCTATAAAAAAAAGCACATTGCATGTGCTGAAAATTCATTTTATCCTCCTAACATACACTCACATACTCGTTGAATGCCTTTTCATATTTCATTACAGATGATGATGATGATGACGATAATAGAAAATGATGAAATAAAAAGGAAGAAAAGTTCTCTTTTTTTTTGTAGATAAAAATTACATTTTTTTATGTCAGATGAGAAACAAAAAAACAGAAAAAAGTTGCTGTTTGGTGTGAAAGATGATAAAAGAAAGTTTCTTTTCAGTCCCGCCTTTTGTAGTGAATTGGGGTCGATGACATGAATTACTTTTGATGTTGCTTGCGATGCATCTTTTATGTAACAGACTGAGTATTTTTTTTATTAAGGACTTCTGGGGAAGGAGAAGTAGTTTTTGTTGTGTAGTTTTATATAATCGGTTCAGCTTTTGAGCTTATTTAGGAAAAATATATTGTATGGTCAAATAATAAGTTCAGTTTAAGGACAAGTTCAGTTCTCCGAGGATACGATTAGTTAAAAAACAAAGATCAGTGTTTTGAGGAAAAGTTCAGCTAAAGAACAGCCTGAACTCATATGGGACAAGTTCAGTTTTGGGATAAGTTTAGTTTTCTGAGGATATGGTTCAGTTTAGGGACACGTTTAGTATTTTTGGTTTAAATTAAGTTTTAGGTAATGTTTAGTTTTATTAAGACATATTCAATTTAGTAACAATTTAAGTTTTTGGTAACAATTTCAGGTATAAGACTCTGACACGTTCAGTTTTAAATTTAAATTAAATTGAATTTCTAAACTTTTCAAACTACACACTCGCTGCACTTCTAATTCATCTCAAACTTCCCCAGTTACTTTAACAAATCTCATAATGCAAAACTTTTTTTCTCTCCATTTTCTTCACATTCACATTTTGACTTTCATTCGAAGGATAAAAAAAATCAAGCTCAGAATACACAAGCAGGTTCTCAGTATGCTGTAAATGTCTGGACCATGTCTGTACATTTATGAGCTTTTTCATGTAATTTTGCATATTCAAAGCGGATCAGGAGAGTAAAAAAAGTTGCAAGCAACATGAAAGGATTCTTTTTTGTTAGAATAAAAATGTTTACAATGAAGAATAATTTATCCGCAAATTGTGTGTGCATGGAAAGAGGAAATGGGATTCAAAAGGACGAGCACAGATGTTGAAAGAGCAAAAAAATTGTAATTTTCTAAGTTAGAAAAGAAATTTGTTTAAAATAAAGTAAAAATTGGGTTAGGGGTTCATTTGTGCTGACTTTTTTGCCAAGGATAAGTTCAGTTTCTGAAGAATAGGTTCAGTTTCTGAAGAATAAGTTCAGTTTTTAAAGAATACGTTCAATTTCTGAAGAATAAGTTCAGTTTCTGAATGATAAATTTCATCTTGAGAATAAGTTCAGTCTTACGGATGAGTTCAATCTTAGGGATGAGCTCTGTCTTCGGGATGAGTCCAGTCTTGGGGATAAGTTCAGTCTTAGGGATGGGTTCAGTTCAAATTTTAAACCAGATACCCGAGACCCCTACAATAATTGTTCACACTAACAAGATACTAAAAGATAAGAACATCCGTGCATGCACATCCATTTTCATATTTTTTTATTACATTACAATCTCGAAATTGTTCCTTGTATGTTTTCCATCTCTTCTTTTCACATTTTTTTATATTCATCATTACACAAAGATTTATTCCGTTAGTACGGGGTTGAATATGATGAAAATTGAATATGAAAATCCGGAGTAGGAGCTGAAAAAAAAGGGTTACACGGAACTAACTTGCATAAGCACACGTATGAGCTAGAAAGATGAGCTTTGAAGGAAAAGAAGAAAAAAATGTTTATAAATCTCCTCGATTGATGTTCATCCTCGTTATGTCATATGCAGTTGGGATTATACTTTATTGAATGAGGAATTGTAAGGAAAATGGAGTTTAGATGCTTAATGAAGATTTCAATGGCAGAGATTTTGTATTGCGAATTTATTGAAGCAAGGAATTGAAGTTGTGAATTTAAATAAAATGTGAAGTTGAATGGAAGTGATCTGTATTCTTTTAAAAGCGTTTGAATTCAACTGAACTTGTTCTTGGAACTAAACTTGTCTTCGGAACTAAACTTGTTCTCAGTACTAAACTTGTTCTCAGAAGTGAATTCAAGACATGAACTGAACTTGATATTAAAATTTAAAATGTCTTTAAAACTGAACGTATCCCCTTAATTGAACTTATGTCTCAGATACTGAACTAATTATTTCTAAACTCAACTTATCCTTCAGAGATTCAACTTACCTTTCATAAACTGAACTTATCCTTCATAAACTGAACTAATTCTCGACACTGAACTTATCCTCGACAATGAACTTATCCTCGACACTAAACTTATCCTTTAGGTACTGGACTTATCCTTACAAAACTGAACTTCCCCTTCACCGGCTCAACCCATAATTCACAAACTGAACTTTTTCTTTCAAAACTGGACTTATCCTTTCAAAACTGAACTTATCCTTCCAAACTTTAACTTTTTCTTAAAATTGACTTCGTTGGAATGGAGCCTTCATATCATTACTATGAATAGCTCATTCATAAAATTATTCAATAAATACGCCCACCAACATCGTCTGTTGTCCTAACAACCTTGCGTCTCACTTGAAATTATCAAAACCAAAAAGTTCTCCATTCAATTCCACCTACAAATCCTCAATAATAATGATTTCCCATTCATGCATGCAATTCACCTCAAAAGTTTCCTTTGATATTTTTTCTTTCTTTCTTTTATTTTAGTTTCCTTCGCATCGGTAAAATATTTGTTCTTCCTTTGCAATTTTTCCGCTCAAATTGACTCTAGATCTGACTTGCGAGAACTTTGATCATCCTTGAGCCTTCATTATCTTTAATGATTTTCCTTTATCTCTTCGTTCAATTGTGGCTTCATGTCAATATCATATGAGTCAATTTCCACTAAATTTCCTCTTTTTTTTCCTCGTTTTGCTGAATCAATAAATTCTGAAGGAAACTTTCTCATGCACACTTCAATGCACAATCCAGAAGGATTTTTTATTACTCAAAGAATGAAATTTATTTAAACTTCTGTAATGATGTTGATGGTAAAGTATGCATACTTGCTGTATCTATCACAAGAACTTTTTCATTTCATTTTTATTCTACTTTGTACTGTGTTTTTCCTTCTGTTACACATTATTATGAAAGTTTTCTTTTAGTTTTTCCCTTTTCTTTCGTTTCTTTTCTCGTCTGTCGACTCACTTTTTACAGTCCTTGAGAGGATTTTTGGTGACTTTTGTAATTGAGGTTTGGGATTTAGGACCAAAAAAAGTTCTATAGTTGGATAAGTTTTCTCTTATCTCTAAGAACAGAAGTTCAGAAGACGAGTTCAGTTCTTCAAAAATAAGTTCAGTTGAAAGGGCAAGTTCAGTTTAAGGGACAAGTTCTGTTCCAATAAAATAGTAAGTTCTTAGGAGAAGCGCTGTGTTTAAGATCAAGTTCAGTTGAAAGAACAAGTTCAGTTGGAAGAACAAGTTCAGTTTGAAGATCAAGTTCACTTGGAAGATTAAGTTCAGTTTGAAGATCAAGTTCACTTGGAAAATTAAGTTCAGTTTGAAGATCAAGTTCAGTTGAAAGAACAAGTTCAATTTGAAGAACAAATTCAGTTGAAAGAACAAGTTCAGTTGGAAGAACAAGTTCAGTTTGAAGATCAAGTTCAGTTGGAAGATAAAGTTCAGTTTGAAGATCGAGTTCGGTTGGAAGAACAAGTTCAGTTTGAAGAACAAATTCAGTTGAAAGAACAAGTTCAGTTTGAAGATGAAGTTGAAAGAACAAGTTCAGTTGGAAGAACAAGTTCAGTTTGAAGATCAAGTTCAGTTGGAAGATAAAGTTCAGTTTGAAGATCGAGTTCGGTTGGAAGAACAAGTTCAGTTTGAAGAACAAATTCAGTTGAAAGAACAAGTTCAGTTTGAAGATGAAGTTCAGTTGGAAGATTAAGTTCAGTTTAAAGCTCAAGTTCGGTTGGAAGATCAAGTTCAGTTGGAAGAACAAGTTCAGTTTGTAAAAACAAGTTTAGTTCTGAGAACAAGTTCAGTTCTGAGAACAGGTTCAGTTTATTAAGAACAAATTTAGATCATTAGACAAGTTCAATTATAAGGAAATATTCAAATAAATTTGAAGAACAAATTCAGTTGAAAGAACAAGTTCAGTTGGAAGAACAAGTTCAGTTTGAAGATCAAGCTCAGTTGGAAGATTAAGTTCAGTTTGAAGATCAAGTTCAGTTGGAAGAACAAGTTCAGTTTGAAGAACAAATTCAGTTGGAAGAACAAGTTCAGTTGGAAGAACAAGTTCAGTTGGAAGAACAAGTTCAGTTGAAAGAACAAGTTCAGTTGGAAGATTAAGTTCAGTTTGAAGATCAAGCTCAGTTGGAAGATTAAGTTCAGTTTGAAGATCAAGTTCAGTTTGAAGATCAAGTTCCGTTGGAAGAACAAGTTCAGTTGAAAGAACAAGTTCAGTTGAAAGATTAAGTTCAGTTTGAAGATCAAGTTCAGTTTGAAGAACAAATTCAGTTGAAAGAACAAGTTCAGTTGAAAGATTAAGTTCAGTTTGAAGATTAAGTTTAGTTTTAAGATCAAGTTCGGTTAGAAGATCAAGTTCAGTTGGAAGAACAAGTTCAGTTTGTGAAAACAAGTTTAGTTCTGAGAAGAAGTTCAGTTCTGAGAACAGGTTCAGTTTATTAAGAACAACTTTAGATCATTAGACAAGTTCAATTATAAGGATATGGTCAGTTCTTGTGAAAAATTCAGATCCTCAAGAACATTTTAATTCATAGGAGATGTTCAGTTCCAAGGACAAAGTCAGTTCTTAGCAGAAGCTCATTTTTAAGAACTAAACTAAGCTCAAATGACAAATTCATTCAAAAATCCCAGCAAGGGAAGTTCATCAGTTCTTTTAAGTTTACTTTGTAATATAATTTTTCCTTATTTTTTATATCTTGTAAAAAATATTCAAATAGATTTTTTTTTTCAACTTCTTATGAACTTTACTTTGCCTGCTTAAACATAAATCTGGTTTGTTTAAAAAAATATGATGAAATGAAGCTTCTTCTTGTGTTCTTGGTTTCTTTTATGTGTATTAAATTTACTCTTTAACATTTTTTATCTTCTTAATGATTTTTCAAGATATTTTTTGCCTTTGAAGATTTATTTCTCATGTAAAAAAGTTATCAAAGGTTTTCGGATTCTTTAACAAACTGCTTTAAGATTTTGAGTTTAAAAGTTGTTTTCTTTTAAATTTATTAATTGGGACAAGACTAGTTTGAGGATAAGTTCATTTAATGGGGATAAGTTCAATGCTTGAGAATAAGTTCAGTTTCTTAATATATATCCAGTTTCGAAATGACAATTTCAGTTCAAAAGGTTACATTTCTGAGGATAAGTTCGATTTTGAGGGACAAGACAAGATTTAGGATAGGTTCAGTTTCAGTGGACATTATCAGTTTGTAAGCATAAGTTCAGTTTCAAAAGGTTGATGTTAGTTTTTTTACGATTAATTTGATTTTGAGGGATAAGTTCAGTTGCTAAGGATAAGTTCAGTTCTGGAGAAAACTTAAGTTTGATCCAATTTCTTTAATTTGCATTTAATAGCTGCTAACAAAATCCCAAACTAAATTTGCATCAGTCAACCTTTACCCCAAAGAAAAGCCTCAAAACTATCGAAAATTTTCACATTTGCACACAAAAATGAATGAATGAAAAAATTTCTCACTAGAGAATCAAAAATTATTTTTTATGACTTTTACATCCAGCACCAAATGCCTTTTTACCTCTCAAATTTCTACAAAAAAAAGCCATTTGATGTCAATTTGCATAAAAAGAGGTAAAAAATCTTCATCAATATTTTTACATCCCTCAAAGGTATCAATTTCGATTCCATTTTCATATAAATTGAGAACATTCATAAAATAAAAAAAGGAAACTTTTTTTTTAAAGAAATCGTAAAAAATGAGGCGAAACGAAAGGAAAAGAATTTTTTTCCCATGTGTCAATTGGATTGAATGGTAAAAAAAAAGGTAAAGTAAAGGCTTATGTGGGGGCAATTTTTCAGCTCTTCGATCTCATGTTTCAATGAATTAATGGATGGGAAATGCATTTGAGTAAGAACAAGTTTCGAAAGTGAAAAATTGGAAAGGAATGAAGAAGTACTTAGTATTCTTAGTCATTTATTTATGTCAATTGGGTTATTAAAAGCTTTTTGGATTAAACTGAAAGTTTTGTGCTGCGAAAAGAGTTTGCTGTATACTGAAGATGTCATCAAAAACTGAAACTATTCTCAGAAACTGAACTTATCCTCAGAAACTGAACTTATCCTCAGAAACTGAACTTATCTTCAGAAACTGATTTGAGCCCAGTGAATTATTTTCAAAAAATGCATTTTTGCTCTGAAAATGAACTTATCCCCCAAACTTAACTTATCCTGCAAACTAAAAGTATACCTTAAAAACTGAATTCACTTTCAGAAACTCAACAAATCCTATTTCTAGTAATTGAACATATCCTCAGAAATTCAACTTGCCCAAAAATAGAACTTATTTTTAGAAACTCAAGTATCTTCAGAAACTGAACTCGTCTCTCAATACTGAACTCGTCCTTCAATACTGAACTCGTCCCTTAATACTGAACTCGTCCCCCAATACTGAACTCGTCCCTCAATATTGAACTCGTCCCTCAATTCTGAACTCGTCCCTCAATATTGAACTCGTCCCTTAATATTGAACTCATCCCTCAATACTGAACTCATCCATAAATACTGAACGTATTCCTCACTACTGAACTCATCCTCAGAAACTTAAATCATCATTATAAACCTAACTTATCATGAAAAACTAAACATGTCGTTTGATTCTGAATTTATCCTAAAGACAAAATTATACCTTGAAACTAAACGTATCCCATAAAATGAGCTCATCGGCTTGAGTTACTGAAAAATTCACTCAAAATGTAAATTTGACCTGATTTTCAACCCCAAAGAAGAAAAAAAAATCCATCCATATGTTAAGCACTCGACTCCTAATTTTTCATTCAGAAGAGCAAATTTTTCACTCAATGATTTATGCACGAAAGACTTTCTTTCTCTTATTTCTGTCACAAAAACACTTTTCCTTGTTTCGTCTTCAAATCCACGCGAGAAATTCATTCAAATTCGATTGTGATGACGAAAGGAAAACTTTTTTTACACATTTGTGGGGCGTCGTCATTGAATTTTTATGTTTTCGTGATTTGAATGAAATTTGACTTCGTGTGTGGGTTTTTTGGTAAATAAAACAAAAAGAAAATCTGAAAATGCTTTAATGGAACCAACACAAAAAGACATCAAAAGGAAAATTAAAAATTTTTAATGAAAAACAAATTCCAAATTAACAAAGATCTTTACTTTCATCAACCCACGATTAAGACAAACTCACGAAAGAATAATCTTCAAAATCCACATGCGATGACAATTCAGACATTCCAATTACGATAAGTGCCTCTCGCATGTGTCATTGAAGCTCTTGACCCAATTTTATCCCTCATTAATGTGCGTTTGAGCCGACATTTCTCTAACTTTGTGCGCCTCATTTCCTATCTAATGGGTCATTTAATGCACAATTGAGAGGAGCTTTTGGGTGGACGAGATTGAGTCGTGTGTCTTTGTGGGGATTTTGTTACGAAACTGACTATTTGGCAGAGATCGAAGCCGATTTTTTCGGCTTAACTCAATTTTTGATTTTTTTGATAGAAAAAAGCCATTTGACACCCATTTCAAGTATTTAAATTGAACTTTACATGCTTTACTATGATTCTGTGAAATATTTTTTCAGTATAAAGCTATAGTGAGCTCAGAATTTCAAGTTAAAGAATGTTAAGCCAAAATTTAAGCCGATCGGCTTAAAATCGGCTAAATTGAAATTCAGAGCTTACTATAGCTACATGCTGAAAAAATATTTCACAGAATCATAGTAAAGCATGTAAAGTTCAATTTAAATACTTAAAATTGGTGTTAAATGGCTTTTTTCTATCAAAATAATCAAAAATTGAGTTAAGCCGAAAAAATCGGCTTCGATCTCTGCTATTTGGGGGTTTTAAGCAGATTTTGATGTTATTCTGATGAAATTTGAGGTTATGTTGCTGAATTTTGAAGCTAAGTTGCTGAATCTTGAGGCTAGGTCGCTGAATTTTAAGGTTATGTTGCCAAATTTGAGGTTGGGTTGTTGAATTTTGAGGTTATGTTGCAGATTTTTAAGGTTAAGTTGCTGAATTTTGAGGTTATATTTCTCAATTTTGAGGTTATGTTACAGATTTTTAAGGTTAAGTTGCTGAATTTTGAGGTTATGTTGCCAAATTTTGAGGTTAATTTGCTGAATTTTGAGGTTAAGTTGCTGAAATTTGAGGTTAAGTTGCTGAATTTTGAGGTTATGTTGCTGAATTTTGAGGTTAAGATGCTGAATTTTGAGGTTAAGTTGCTGAATCTTGAGGTCATACTGCTGAATTTTGAGGTTAAGTTGCTGAATTTTGAGGTTATGTTGCTGAATTTTGAGGTTATGTTGCTGAATTTTGAGGTTATGTTGCTGAATTTTGAGGTTAAGTTGCTGAATTTTGAGGTTATGTTTCGAAATTTGAGGTAAAGTTGCTGAATTTTTGAAAATCAACCCAAAACTTGCACAAGAACAAACCTCTTCAACCTTATCAGTAAGGACGTCCTCAATAAAATCACATAAATTTCAGATGTTCTCTTTAAAAGTCGAATGCATAATAAAATGGAAAAAAGAAAGTTAAAAGAGGAGCTTTTGTGAGAAAATTAAGCGGAAAAATTTTATGGATTAGAACTGAATTGAAAGGAAATATGGGCAATAAAGACTATTAAAGCTGTTAGAGTTAGAGCGATTATGTGGAATAAAATTATTTTTGGGGATCGTTTCTACCTTTTTGAGGGTGATGAAGTGAAGTATGTGAGGATTATGTTAGTCTTTAGACTGAATTTTTGATTTAATTTGATATAAATATACACACTAGCTACCTTAGCACCTTAAAATTCACAAGAAGCCCCTTTAAAGCCCCCAAAAACTTAACAATCTTAAAAAAGACATCCAAACTCAGCAGCACAAAATGCCAAACTTAGTAAAACTTTTAAGGATCCTTAATTGACTTTATTACGCCCAACATTCACTCGATGGAGCTTCAAAATAAACATCTGCAGTAAGTGCCATAAAATTATTGAATAAAGTAAAAAGTCTTCAGTTTGAAGGGTCATTACAAGCAAAATACAAACAATAAACAAGTTTTGAAAGCAATTTATTCGGAAGTAAAGAAAAGTTTTACTTGAGAATTCTTGAAAGTTTTTATTCTTTTCTAGTTTTACAGACAGCTGAGGGAGAAATGTGAGCAATTGAGAGGAATGTTGCAGGTTGCAGGTATGGAATGTGTCTGGATGAAAACTTAAGTTTTGAAATGTTTAATTTTAATTTTTAAAAATAAAGATTTTAAACTTCTAGCATAAAATTGAAATTTCTTAGAAATTAAAGAAAAAAAAACAAAAAAAAATAAAATTTTCTCAAAAAAAATCAAAATATTTAAAATTTGTAAAAAAAATTTAAAAGCAAAACATTTGAAATTTTATTATAGATTTTTTTAAGTTTTAATATGAATAAAATTGTTAAATTTTTAAATTTAATCCAACTCTGTCTCAAAAAGCAGTTAAGTGTCTTGCTGGTCGAATAGGTAAGGCGCTTGGCTCAAATTTGGGATGGTAACTCGAAGGTCGTCGGTTCGAATCCAGCCATTTCCAAATTTGTTCTTTTTCGGAAGTTTAGATACTTCGACTGCTTAATGTACGAGATCAAGCCATAATTGGGCATTTGGGCAACGTTGGATTAAGGAACGGGTCAGGAACTTGAAGTGTAGCGGGAGAAATAGGAACGAGAGCTACAAGATTACCCACGAATGGAATATTGATAGAACGGACCTGAAAAGTATCACGTAACGCCTACAGAAGATCGAAACGAGAGCCTTAGTTTATTTGAAACCTTGATTTGAAGATTAGCAGTTTGATCCTACATAATATTAATTCATATGTATACAAATACAAAAGTTTAAAATGTGAATTATTACCGGACAGT